GCTTGCTCCTGATCTTAATCCCATAGAGAACCTATGGGGACTTTTAGTCAGAGATATTTACCGCCAGGGAAAGACTTATGATAGTGTAGCAGACCTCAAACTGCAATTAGTCAGTCATGGAATTGTTTGGATGCACAGTTGCTGTATAGATTAGTTGAATCAATGCCAAATAGAATTTTTGAAGTCATTTCTAAACATGGAGGAACAATTGATTATTAAGAAGTTGTTATATGTTCGTTTTCATAATAAATGTATTAGATTTTTGAGGTGCGTCTATACTTTTGATACAGGCAAAATAATGCCCACCTGTTGGAAAAAGCCCGAATTCTTCCATTTCACGTGAAAGCTGCTGAACATAGGTTTTCGGCATGCTGATTCATATGAGGATAGGTATGTTTGTCAAGAACTTCTGCGGAGTCAGCTTTGGTATTTTGGGGGTGCGTCTATACTTATGGTACGCACTGTATATCAACCTTAACAACATTCAGACTCATCATAATAGGTAGTTCACAACAATTACAAGACTAGTAGCCCTTGGACTTCAAACAAGACATTTATTTCAAACACTTCAACCGATGCCCTTCGCAAAGTAACTGCTAGTAATGTATGTATGAATGTAAAAATAAACAGCGGTGAAAGTACGAGAGCTATGTCGTTGGAAGCAAATGAACTTGAAGGGGCTCTCTTGGTTCTCTACCCTGGAAAAGGATAGCATTCGTCTCCAAGATGAACGGGGACTTTGCTGGCGTCGGCTCGAAGAACTTGTGAGCAATTAAATGACATATGAAAGTGGTGATACAAGCGAAAGTGAGGGAGAGGCGAAATGACTCAGTCGAAGGGTCAACGCGGACCCGAATGTCCTGTTTCATAAGAAAGCCTGATGCTATGACATACAATGTGGTCTAAATGCCACAGATTCAAGCGAGCCGACTTGCAACAAGTCTTACCATCAGTTCGGCCCACGAATGTCACACATAAAGCTTATACACGTCCGCAGGAAAAAAATTCCAGTACCTTTTCTCTTGAAGATCCGAAGAGTCTTGAGATTAAACCAGCTTTCCGTGCTGGTGAAGCACTTGCTTGAGGTGGGTGAGAAGTCGATGGAGACGAAGTACAAGCAATATGCTGTGCATCTCGACCTGAGATGGCTTTGTTGAAACCTAACTCAAGATAAGATGTTGTCCTAGCGAGAACATTAAAAAAAACTGTGAAACACAATCTCACCAAGCGAACTTTCTGGTGTTGCTGATGACATTGCGTCAGGAGCTGACGATCTTGTACTCATTGCTCCATCCACCTGCGAAAGCAGGAAAGGCACGTATCTTGGATCTGAGAATCAACATTCTCTCATCACGTCACAAGTCGCAGATAAACTTGAAAAGCAGAAACAACAGAAGTAAGTGTTTTTAAGTGTTTCCTTGTTGCGTTTCAGTGATAGATGTTGCAAAGCAGCCGTGAGCCGTAGATGTCGGTCAGGCTCTGCGATTGCATCGCGATGGACCAGTGCCGGAGCGACGCGATCGCTCCATCGCTTGTCCACGCGATCGCTCCATCGCTTGGCCGACGCGATCGCTCCATCGCTTGTCCACCGCGATGCAATCGCTCTGCCTAGAGGCCGATGTCAGACTTTGCGATTGGAGCGATTTTGCACTAATTGCAGGAGCGACGGATCGCTCCAAAGTGCGAGCGACGGGAGATTTACCCGAGCGGCGCCGTGTGTATCGGTCGTCGGCGGGGTAAATCTCCCGTCGCTCGCACTGCAAGCGACGGGAGATTTACCCGCGGCGCCGTGTGTATCGGTCGTCGCGGGTAAATCTCCCGTCGCTCGCACTTTGGAGCGATCCGTCGCTCCTGCAATTGGTGCAAAATCGCTCCAATCGCAAAGTCTGACATCGGCCTCTAGGCAGAGCGATTGCATCGCGGTGGACAAGCGATGGAGCGATCGCGTCGCTCCCGGCACTGGTCCATCGCGATGCAATGCACTTCGTATAGCACCAGTGCCGCTAGCGACGCGAGCAGAGTCTGGCGACCATCGTATGAATCAGTTCTCTTTTTACTACCTCTGAGAGAGGAGAACGCTGGTGAAAAATAAAAAGTCTACCCACGAAAGCGGTGCTAACTTAGTTGGGGGGGGCCACGCGGCGGCGCGGCAGTCTGCTCACCTGGGCTCTCTCGAGCGAGACAGTGTAAACTCGAACATTCCAGCTTTTCACGCATGTCAAGTGACTGCCCCCACCCCCCCCCCCCTAGACTGCCTGCCTACACTCCCCCTGGCCCACGGATTTCCGAACATGCCAGGCGAGCAGACTGCCGCGCCGCCGCCGCGGAAGCCCCCCCCCACTAAGTTAGCACCACGAAAATGTTTCGTTGTTTTTGAGCGAGTTGGAGGCTTCCATACTGCAGTGCCTCCCCTCCGAGAGAGCGGAGGGAGGCATTGCAGTATAAAGCCCCCCCCCCTCTTAAAGACTGAGTTCAAGTAGTCCGTCGACCGGTGAGCACCCTATATTTGATCTCAAGTGCATTCCAGTGTATTACTAGACTATTGAAGCGACTCAGATCGCTGCTACTGATGGTTACATGTACCGTTCCGCGAACTTAGTGTACAAGAATGACAAAGAGTTACTGCTTAGAAAGATAAGATAAGAAAATAATTACCGCATTAACTTTCATTAACACCAGGAAGTTAAGAATCTGCCAAACCTACAACGTAAAATTAACTATCAGATTGCCCGATAAGTTCAGTGGTTTGTCGAAAATCTCCTAAGATCCTATGTTTTCACATAATGCTACATAACGTCAAGCAAAGGCTTAAGCGCCCTTGAGGCATAGTTTCAGGTCGCGACAGTACCACCCCCTCCCCCAACCTCGGAGAGAGGGGATGGGTCCCCATCCCCTCGTTGGGTTGACGGACTACTTGAACTCAGCCCTTTACCGCCTCTGCGCTCTCTAGCGGGTCCCTCTCCTCTCCAAGGCTTAGTCCTAGGGCATTCTCTAATCGTCTGTGCTCTAGCCATCGCGGCAGGACCATTGAGGAAAAATCAAGTAGTCCGTAAACCCCCTCGTTGAGGCTTGCTGCACCCGGCCCCAGGCTCACTCATGATCGGCGATGGACCTGGGGCCCCTGCAGCGATGAACAAGTCCCTTTCCGTTCTTGTGAACCACACCCCAAGCCGTGCACTTCTGTTCTAATATTTGGTTATCTAGCAAGATTGATTGGTATTAGTATTTTTTGGATAAATTTTGCTGAAGTAATCTCCTAATTCGTAGCGATTGGGCACCTAATTATGTAAGCCTGAAATCCTACCAAATCTATCATTAATCACCAATCCAAGGAACAGGAAAATGCTTCCAAATGGAATATTATGAAAACTGGGGCCGTATCCTTTCCTTCCTGTAGGCTAGGAGAACAGAAAATCCCTTTAAATCTTCTTTGTCTTTCCAGGAAAAATCACTTTGAGAAAATGAATATTTGTAATGTATATATGGGTGTAAAACCAAACAAGTGGGAAATGTAAAGGAACAGTGTGAAAACAAATAAACTTAGTTGGGGGGGGGGGACCACGTGGCGGCGCGGCGCTCTGTTCGTCTGCTCCTCTAGGGCTTAGTTCCAAGGGGCAGTTACTATTTCGTCGCCACGTGGCAGTTTCGAAATACCCGCAATCGGCGGACTAAGCCTTGGAGGAGCAGAAGAACAGAG